CAGTGGCTGAGACCTGGGCTGGGTCTCACAGACAGGCAGGGGAGACCCTGCTCCTCCTCCCCCAGTGATTGCAGAGGAAGGCAACGAAGCTTTGTCTTAGCCTCTGAGGTGAGGCATGAGTCCAAGCCTCTGCCTCTTTAGTTGATACCCTCTACTCAGCAAAGAAGCAAAAATGTCCTTGAAATGTGTGGACATGATAGGCACTTGTTTGCCTTGGGTGTCCCCAGGGAATTCTCAGCTAGTATAGATCCTTCTGCATTGCACCAGTTTGGGGAACATTATAGAGATCCCTCTTGCTTTATAACCAACCGTGTTATGTAAAGCATCTGGATGTGCTACCCTCTGAGAAGATATGCCAGCTCCAAGAATCTCATTCAGATATTTCAGATATGATAATCACCCATTTAAGGAACTAATTGAAATTGGATGAGTTTCATATCTCCCCCAGTTTTAGAAAAGAAAAATCATAGGCCAAATATAAATTTCATAAATGCTTGAAAAACCCTCTACAGGAAGAAATTTGGCAGAGGACATCAAGACCAGGCCATTTTGAGCAAATGAAATAACCTAAAGCAAGACTTTGAAGTCTGACCTTCAGAATATATAATAATACACTGGGTTGAAGAGGTAATAAATACCAGAGAGTGGGACAGAATGTATCTAATTAAGCAGTTTTAGCCATGTTTTGGCATTCTTTTCAATTATGTTTCTTACTAGGATTTTCAAACGTACCATCACAGTTTTGCAGTGATCTTAGTTATGAAAACACTTGGGTTTTTTTTCCTCTATGCAAAGCAACACATCATCAGTTATTTTATAGTCAGATCCACTTCAGTGGTTTCATTTCCATTACAGCAGTGGAAAGCTGTGACTGTGTCACTTCACTGAGAACTATGGGCCAAGCTCATTTTTCTGAGCTTTATGTTAAAATCAATGGATTAGCTAATAGGATAGATACTGCCACGTGAACCAGAGCACTGATTTCTTCTACTCCATATGGAGAGACTAAAAACTGTACTTTGTTACTCTGCTTTTCCAGAATCACAAAACAGATGAGCTGAAAAGGACTTCTAGAGATCTAGATATTCCCACATATTATTTACAGCTCTGTTGATTGTTTATGCAGAGTTGTAAGTAGAGCAGAGGGCAGGGTCATATCCTTTGACCTGCTGGCAACACCACTTTTAATGCAATGCAGGAGGTTCTTGACCTTTACTACAGTTATTTAGTGTTAGGTCACGGTCAGCTTGTTTTCCACCAGGGTCCCCCACTCCTTCTCTGCAGATCTGCTTTCCAGCTGGTTATCTCCCAGAGTCTATTGGTGCATGGAACTTCTCCTCCCCAAGTGCAAGACTCTGCACTTCCCCTCATTGAACTTCATGAGATTCCTGCCAGCCCATTTCTCCAACCTCGTCAGGTCACGTCCCTTTGAATGCCCATAAAACTCCCTGGTGTGTCAACCACTCATTCCAACCTTTCATTTTCTGCAGTCTTACTGAGTCTTCTCTCTGCCCCAACATCTAGATCAATAATGATATTATGAGAGACAGTGTTAAAAGCCCTGCTAAAGTCAAGATAAACATCCCCTGTTCCTCAGTTTCATTGCAGAAGGCTATCAGCTCAAGCATCTTTTTCCTCTTTGCAAATCCTTGCTGACTATGCCCAGCCACGTTCTTGCTCTTATGTTTAGAAAGGTTTTTCAGGATTATATGCTCCATCACCTTTCCTGTGATTGAGACTGCCTGGCCTGTAGTTCCCCATATCCTTTTTCTCACCTTCCTTGAAGACAGTGATGTTTGCTCTCTACCAGTACTCATGCTGGGTTCTGGGACTGTGAGCAGCAGTGGCAGATTTGCATCAGGTTCACTGCCCAGTAAATGCATCATGCTGTGCTATTGAGAGGAACTCTCTGAGGACATTGGAGGCTGAATGTTGTAAGAGGTGGACACAGAATGATCTGTTCCAAATATGACCAACACTATCTGGATATCTATCACAAAAGTCACCATGCTTCCCTCATAGTCCAAGATAGAATATGCCATGTTAAAAACTGTTAACACTAAACTTCTGCCTGGTCTTGAAGCTTACTTTTTTCCAGTTCCCAATTCTTCCAAGACACTTTTCCAGCTGTTCACAAGTCTTCTCCTTTTCTATCTTCTCTTCATACTTGATTTTCTCATCTCATGCTATAACAGCACAGTAACCACATTTTTCAGTCTTTGCCTAATATTACTTCTCATTGAAAACACCATCCTATGTGGAAATTAATTCCTGATTGCATATGGTTTGCGTAACCTAGGTTCCTGAGCTGTACATAAGCACCTGGTTCTTGGTGAAGCAATCCTGCTGAAACGAGGGCTTTGTGGGGCACTGGTTCTCACTGGATGTTCACACTTCCCATAGATGCACTCAGTCACAGCCCCAAATGCCCTGTTGAATCACTCACCCTCTGTGGGATGTCCTCTGTGCCCTGGCTGAATTCACTGACTGTGTGCCATCACAAGGAGCTGACAGGCTTTCTGCAGACTGATGTGTCACTGGGACAGAAGTGGCAGATGGCCCCTCCTGTACTCAGGCCTTGAATTATGCGAAAGAAAAAGCTTTTAGTCCTTGCCGAGCTGGGTGACACATGCCTCTTGCAGACTCACAGATATATCATAACTCATAGAATCATAGAATGGATTGAGCTGGAAGGGACATTAAAGACCATCTAGGTTCAACACCCCTGCAGTGGGACAGGATGCCTTTCACTAGACTTGTAGGAATGGAGCATCCACAGCCTCCCTGGTCAAGCTGTGCCAGTGCCTCACCACCCTCACAGTAAAGGATTTTTAAAACTTTTTTAGTATCTAATATAAGACTACTCTTTTTCAGTTTGAAGCTATTCCTCTTATCATGTTTCCACATACTCCTGTAAAAAGTCCTCCATCTCACTTGTGGTCTTCAAGTACTGGAAGGCTGCAATTAGGTCACCCCAAAGCTTTTTCTTCTCTAGGC